CTGGCTCCTTTCTAGAATGTTGAGATGAATGCATCAGTGTCTCCTGTCAGCCTTTGGATATCCTTGCCAAGCCACACTCTCCATTCCCTGGCACCTTCCCACTCAGTACATAGGAGCTCAATCCCATCCTCATGTATTAGAGCCCGCAGAGAGTGGTGGGTCAGGTGTGGATGGCTTGAATCTGGGAGTCACATAAAGTTGAAATGAGAGTAGACTGAATTTAGGAATGGATCCCAAGAGGCTGCTGTGCTGAATAATCAGTCTTGTGTGTCTTCCCGTTTTGTTTATGAAGAGTATTTATACTACATGTTTCTTTGGGTGAGTATGCTATAAAAAGTTAATACCCTTGCCAGAGGTGGTGGCACATGCCTTTTAATTCCAGCACTTGGGAGGCAGGGGCAAGAAGATCTCTGTGAGTTTGAGGTCAACCAGGTCTACCTAGTAAGTCCAGGACATTCAGCTAAGCAGAGGTCATGGTGAGACCTTGTCTAAAAATGTTAATACCCTTTCCTTCTACTCTTCCTTTCTTTCTCTTTTTTCTTTTCTTATGAGATGGGTTAGTCCAGGCTTTGGGTATCCTTGACTTGGTGGTCCTCCTGCTTCTGTCTTTCCAGTGCTAGAATTTCATGCATGCATTCCAGGCCTGGGTTGCTTCCTAGATTTCTCAAGGCTGGATTCTACCTCATTCACATGTATTTTTATTATTATTGCTGCTGCTGCTGTTGTTGTTGTTTGGAAGAGTCTCCGTATGTATTCAGTCCAAGTTGGCCTTGAACATACTGCCCTCCTGGCTCTGCCTTGGCCCTCTGAGTGCTGGGATTGAAGTCCTGGCACGTGCCACCCTGCCCAGCTGCATTTATTTTTAAAGAGCTGCTTTGAAGGGCTTCAGACCCTCTCAGCAAAGAGCATCTCTGAGGTATAAAGCCTGGTACGTTATTCAAATCATCCTAATTGGATTTCTCAAGCCCTGATCTAATCAACAAGCTGTTTTGCTTAGCTTCTTGGTCATGTTCATTCATTAATTCAGAAAGCATTTATTGAATCTTTGCAGAGTCTACCCATGGGCTAGACGTAACAGGATTAGTGGATGAACGGAGCCCTGTCCTTTAGAGGTTTATAGTCTTGCTGAATGGAGGGAAGGAAATAATAGAATGCTGTTTAAGATGTAAGATGACTTTTGTACTTGAAACGTGTTAGCGGTCTTTCACGTCAGGTAATTGACATTAACTGTGACTTTGTGCTCTGAAAACCATATTATGAAGTATTTTCTTTTCATATTTATTTCACAGTTAATATCACAGTTCCTTTCAGACATGCTCTTGTGAGAATACTCAATCCCCACAAAGTAATGTTGTGAAGTTAATAGAATTGTTGCCATTTCGCGCTTTGCAGGCTGTGCATTTGGGAGGATTCTGAGCAGGAAGAAAGAATGAAAAGGTGAACCCAAATTTATTATTTTATTGGAACAAATTGTCGCATAAAACTACTGCCCTAACCCGATCCATGTACACACCAAGTTCTGCTAGAATTTCATGTCAGCTTCCACCACCATGATGGATGTATATAGAAAGCATGCACTGATTTTAGCTAAGGTCTCTGGTATAATGAGATTCCTTTACTCTTTGAGGGAAAATGTCCATTTATGTATGAACTGTTAGAAAAAAATGATTTTCTGCTACTTAGAAGAGTAGAAAGCTGAAATCAGAAATGCCTCCCTATGCCCTAATATCTTCTAAATACGATTGTTCTATTCTGTGTTTCATATATCTACTGTACTAAGATGCACTTTTGGTCATAGACTGGAAGCTACTCTTGACGCCTCTTACTCATTTTCCCTTCTAATGTCGTTTTTGTGTGCAATAGACCTAGTTGCTTCTGTGCACAGGCTAGAAAAGGGTATGTTTCAACTGAGTCCCAAGCTGATCTCTCTAGGCACAATGATGTTCTATGTTGTATGGCTGCCCTGCCTTCTGAGTCAGTAGTTTGGGTAGTTTGATGCTGTGTCAGGGGTTGGTTCCTAGTTATGAGGGCAATGACAGTTTGGCTGTTACAGTCCATAGGTGCACAGGAGCTGCATACTCTTGCTTAGGCTTCTGCCAGGACCTGACGGTGGGATTTTATTTCTTTCCTTCTCTTCCTCCCCCCTCCCACATCTTTTCCTCTTTCTCTTCTTCTTTTCTAACCACAGCTCTCTGAGACAGTTTGTGAAACTCTGAAAGACTTGCTTTTTTCTCAGTCATCTAAAATTTAAGAGTTCTCCAGCCATCCCAAGACTGTGTGCTTGGGTATTAGGGGTGTGTGCGTGTGTGCGTGTGTGAAGCCTAAACCCAAGATTGGTTTTTATTTCCTTCCTTCATTCCTTCCTGCCTTCCTTCCTCCCTCCCTCCCTCCTTTCCTCCCTTCTTTCTCTCTCTTATTCCTTCTTCTTACCCCCCAAGGTATCCTCAAACTTGCTATGTAGCTCAGTCAGGCTTTGAAATTATAATTCTCCTGCCTTAGCCTCTTGCTTTGGTATTTTTTACTTATTTATTTTTATTTAGAAACAATCTTATTTTATATATCAATCCTAGTTCCCTCTCTCTCCTATGCTCCCATATCCCCCACCGACACCCCATCCCACCCCCTATCCACTCCCCAGGGAGGGTAAGGCCTTCCATGGGGGATCATCAAAGTCTGTCTTATCATTTGAGGGAGGATCTAGGCCCTCCCCCCATCTATCTAGGCTGAGAGAGTAGCTCTCCATGAGGAATAGGCTCCCAAATTCCATTTGTGCACTAGGGATAAATACTGGTTCCACTGTTAGAGGTCCCATAGACTGCCCAGGCCTCCTAACTGACACCCACACTTAGAAAGCTTGGTTCAGTCCAGTGCTGGTTCCCCAGCTTTATGACTGGAGTCCATGAGCTCCCACTTGGTCAGGTCAGCTCTTTCTGTGGGTTTCTGCAGCCTGCTCTTGACCCCTTTGCTTATCACTCTTCCCTCTCTACAACTGGATTCCAGGAGTTCAGCTCAGTGCTTAGCTGTGGGTGTCTGCTTCTGCTTAGGTTGTGGAGACTCTTGAAGACCCAAAGACAAAATCTGTAGTTTCTGAATCAACAAAAGTATGTGAAAACTGGTTTATTATCAATAGGGAGGCCATTGAGTCTAGAAAAAAACCCTAAGAAACATGCCAGGGAAAGTCCCTCAATGTGGGAGGAAAATCACTGTGAGCTAAGGATTGCTCTAGAAGGTTCTCTCTCCTTCAACCTTCCCTCCCCACCCCTTTGTCTCTTATGTCACGTTAGACTATCTTGGCACTTTCAAATGTTGACTTATCTTTTATTTTCCAAGCCAGGGTCTTGCTATGTACCCCAGGATAACATTGAAGTTTTTGTCTTCAGATCCTCCTGCCCCTGTGCCTTAGCTAGATTTGAATTCCAGGCCCATGTCACCACACCGATCACAGTTCCTTTCATAAAAGTATGTAGCTGGAGGTTGTGGAATATACTTTGGTTCAAGGAGTCAGAGTTGTTGTCTATTGCCTATCTTCCTTCAAGGTTTCCACCCTTATGATGAGTCTGGGGGATTATATAGATCAAATGTGTTGCCTGCATCCTGCTGGGGCACTGGAAAAATTTCCAACAAGCTCGTTTTAATAACTCCCAACTACTGAAGACCTGTTTCTGGAACTTCCTGGTTAGGACTCCAAGAGACAGCAAAAGAAACACAGAAAGTCAGACACTAGCTGGGCTCTCTGCCATACAGAGACCAGTGGTGGCACATGTCTACGCTTGGGTGTGAAGAACTACCTTACCAGTACCATTCCTGGGTGGAGTCTTGATAGGTCAGTGAAGATGCAGAGAGGCTGCCTGCCCTTTAGGGTGTAGCAGGTTTCCCGCTTCTGCCCCTAGTCCTTCATATTTCCGGTGTAAGCACCTTTTCCCCCAGAGGCAATGCAGTGAGGGGGTGTTCACAGTAGCTGCTCCCCTTGTTTCCCTCTGCCTCTCTTGCTGTGGGTCCTCTTGCTTGTGTTGAGGGGTCCTGAAGGAATGTGGGCAGATGAAAATCAGTCTTTCCACACTGATAGCTTTGAGCTCAATGGACAGTGGTCCTCTGTATGGAGGAGGAGGGTGCTCGTGGAGGAGGAGGGTGCTCACAGAGGAGGAGGAGGGTGCTCACGGAGGAGGAGGAGGGTGCTCGTGGAGGAGGGGTGCTCGTGGAGGAGGAGGAGGGTGCTCACGGAGGAGGAGGTTGCTCGTGGAGGAGGAGGGTGCTCACGGAGGAGGAGGAGGGTGCTCACGGAGGAGGAGGAGGGTGCTCGTGGAGGAGGGGGTGCTCACAGAGGAGGAGGGGATCCTGGAGGAGGAGGAGCTTGTGGAGGTGGAGGGGCCCGTGGAGGATGAGGGTGCTCGTGGAGGAGGAGGAGGGCGCTCGTGGAGGAGGAGGAGGGTGCTCGTGGAGGAGGAGGGGCTCGTGGAGGATGAGGGGCTCGTGGAGGAGGAGGGTGCTCACGGAGGAGGAGGGGATCGTGGAGGAGGAGGAGATCGTGGAGGAGGAGGGGATCGTGGAGGAGGAAGGGATCGTGGAGGAGGGAGGAAGAGCAGACTTCCATTGGTAACCAGCCTGAACAATGCTGTTCTGGGCAGTCAGGTTGCAGGAGAGGACTTAGCTTGTATTTCATCTCTGGAAACTTGAATTACTTTCCAAGTATCACAAGTGTCCACGTCATGTCTATTTCTGTAAGTGGAGAGGCTGCACTATTGTCCCCCACCCTGAAATAAGTTGAGCTTTCAGCTCTGGCCCTGTAGCCTGAACAAAGCAGTTACCCCAAGTGTCCTGATTTGGGGAGACTTGCTCCTCTCTGTCCTAGTGTATCTCACCACAGGTGTAAGGGATATCAGGTGTTAGACACTCAGGGCACTCAGGTAGTTTCTACTCTACAAGGAGCTATGATATCTGTAGAAGATCCTCATGCTGTGAGTTCATATGTATTTATTTATGTATTTGTTTTCTTGCTGCAGGAAAGCCATCTCCCGGACAGGCCTCCAGCACCTGGCCCCTGCACATCCTCTTGGCCTTCCTGTGGCAAACGGTCCAGCAAAGGAGCCCAGAGCGACTTTGGACTGGAGCGTAGGTGTCTGCTGGTTTTTCATTTTGTTTTTGTTTGTTTGTTTGTTTTCTCTCAAGTTAACTTTAGTTGCATGCTGTGTCTTTCTCATCTCGCCCTCAGGATTCTGTAAGTAAGAACACATCTACTGAGAGTCTTCAGTGGTCATGTTAATGAGATCATTAACCATTGTCCCCACCTGAAGCCATCCATGTGCAGGGCTGCTCTTCAGTTCTGCTCTGCTGTCTCAACAATGAACAGAACAGGCTCATCCGTGTCCTTTTCTGCTTAGAGGAGAGAGTCATGGGAGAAAGGAGGGGAGTGTTTATCTTTAACCAACTAAAACATAAAAGTCATATGTATTTATGGTGTGCCATGTAGTGTTTCAACACATGGACTCAATGTCAATGTTTGAAACATGGCAAAGTAGATCTATTCAGACATTTATCAGTTATTTAAAATACAAACATACTAACTCCTTTTTTTCTAGCCTTCTGCAAAAGAAAAGTACACTACACTATCACTGTTTATGCTCACTCTACTGTGAAATGATATCTAACTATGAATTACTGTCCATTGAAGAATCTTTCCCTTGATGATTTCACGACTGTCTTTCCCAGCCTCTGGTAACCACCCGCTTGCTGTCAGTGTAAGACAGACTTTGTAATAATTTACATGTAAGTGAGTTTGCACAGAGCTCGACTTCCTGTGCCTCGCTTGTTTGGCTAAACACAAAAGCCTCCAATTTCATCTATGTTGCAAATGACAGGTTTCCCTTTTTCTGTACAGATAAATAATATTCCACTCTGTATATGCACCACTTTTTTCTGGCAGATAATATGGAATTTTATTGAATTTAAAAATAACGCCCTTGACAAAGGTCACAGTCTGTAAAATGTAAGCTCCGTTTGTCAAGTTGCCCTAAATGGGCTTTTAATTTGAGCTGAGACAAAGGCACGCCTGTTTTCATGTCTGTGTATGTGTGGACAAATCTTATTTCCACACTCTTTCAACTTGGCAGAACTGAAATCCTTTAGAGGAACTTAACTGTTGTGTGTGTGTGGGGGTGGTATGGTAGACACTTCTTCCATTAGTCAATGGTGCGGTCTCACAAATAGAAAAAGCATTGCCCAACAACAAGTGTGACTCTGCCTCAGCTTCCTGAGGGGAGGAATGAGAAACATTCGTTTCATTTTGGCTGCCTTTAAAGCTAAAATTATTAGAACCACAGTTAGATATCATTGTCACAAACAAAGCATTAGAATCTTTTATCCCTCCACTAAGTCATCGGAATGTTTGCTGGGCCCGGGAAAGAAGTCATTGCTACATCTTCTTGCTCCAGTTTCCACGCCTACAAAGGCAGTCACCCAAGACTTCTAAACATATGAAACAAAAGGTCTCAAACACTCTTCTATAGTCCTGGGTCTTAAACCTGGGCCTCACGTGAGAGCAAGGCAAGTACTTCACCATTGATCTATATCCAAAACTCTTATTTTTACTCATTTTGAGAGAAAGTTGTCTCTCCCAGTAGCCCAGGCTATCTTAGAATACACTCTGTAACCCAAGCAAACCTTGAACTCCTGAGCCTCCAATCCAACCTCCCAAAGAGCTGGATTATAGCTTAGTCAAACTCCTGACTCTTTATTAATTGGCCTTTGCAAAAATGTAACAAACCTTAGCAAGATAATAGTCTGTGTTTTACTTCTGATGTAAATTCCTTCCTTAAGTTTTCAATTGCTTACATGAAAAGAACATTCATATCCTTCCACTAACCTTTATCTGTTCTCACTTAGGTTGTTCGGTGTTTCCTTTGCATCCAGTTAACCCTTTTCACCCCTTACCAGTAAATACAGGCATGCAGACATGTCACATTTTTGTTTTAGTGGGAGGAGGAGTGCACGTTCACATGAGTGTCAGGGTCAGAGGTCTACCTTGGTTGTCATTCCTCAGGCACTAGCTACTTGGATTTATTTTTTTCTCATTGACCTGGAACTTGCCGAATAGGCTAGGCTTGTTGGCCAGCTTGGGAGCCTCAGTATTCCACCTTTGTCTCTCCCAAGCTCTGGGGTTCCTTTGTTGATGGACACCCAAGGTTGCTTCCGTTTCCTGACTGCTGTGAATAGTGTTTCAATGAACATGGCAGGTGTGTCTTCCTCTTATGCAAATCAAAGGATTTTCATTTTCTTTGGATACAGACCTAAGAGTGAGATTGTTAGGTCAGACAGTGGTTCCGTTTTCGACTTACGTTGTGTTATCGTAGCTACACCTGTTGCTATTCCCACCACCAACATGAAGGATTCCCTTTCTCAACAGTCTCTGCAGTTTGTGTTAACTTCTATATGGTGAGAGCCACTCTTAGGGAAGGGGGGGCTGTTTCATTGTAGTTTTGATTTGTATTTCCATAATGACTGATGTTTGTATTTTAAAAACCTGCTGGTCATTTACATGTCTTCTTTTGAGACATGTTGGTTTAGACCTACCACTCATTCTTTAGGTAGGGGTATTTGTTGGCTATTGAGATTTCCAAAATGAATATTCCAATATGAATATTCTGTATATTTACTCCTATCAGGTGTGCAGTGTGAAATACTGCCTCCCACTCTATAGTTTGTCCTTTAACTCTGTTGCCTGCTATCTTTGCTGTGCAGAAATATTTGAGTTTTACAGAAACTTGTTTGCCCATTTCCCCTTTGTTTCTTGTTCTTCTGGGGCCTCTTTAGAAAGTCCATCCCATCAAAGTACCCTGAATCGTGTCTCCTGCATTTCCTTACAATGTTTTATAGTGTCAGACCTTATACTTCAGTATTTGGTCTGTTTAAGTTGGTGAGAGACAGCTGTCTATCATCGTTTTCTGCTGAGGACATCCATCTTTATCTACCATCATTTCTGCTTGTGGAGACAATGAAGAACGTTATCATTATTGAAAAGGCCATCATTATTTTTTTCCAGCACATGTTCTCATACCCTAGCTTAAACCCAGCTGCCTAAAGACTTTTTTTAAAGTGTGTCTGCCACAATTGAATCTCCTATGCATTAGGACATTATTTTCTGCCCCCAGCGAATGCTACCATCCTTGTTATGCTTTCTGGGTGGGTTCCTTGGGATCAAGGGGGTGATGAAGATGTGGTTTGCAGAGCTAAAATCCATGGGTAGGAAGGAATTTACAGCGGGGGCACAGCACAGCAATGCCTGGGCCAGGAGAGGTCATGGTGGTGGGGGTGGGGAGTGTCCTGGGATATGAGAAAGGACTCTCTAGTTTTGGCTGGTGTTGGAAATAGTCATCAACAAATGCTTTTAGTGAGTTTCCTGACTAAGCCAGCATTTGGCTCGCACACATTATTTTCTGATTCCCGTGGAGAGTCATACAGTATAGCATTCATCCGTATAGCATTTTTGGCTTGTGGCAGGAGGCTCTGATGTACAATAGGGACCAAACAAACAGGAGCTGAGGCTGGGTTTGCTGTGGTCCTTTGTTCCTCTTTCTTTCCTCCCTGGCAATTGGTGGTGAACACTCCATATGGAGACCTGCTCAAAGTCCAGCAGGAAAGCAAAGAAGGGGACGCTCCTTTCTGGGAGACCAGATGTGGCTCTGGAACAGGTGCATCTCTTGGCTGTTACTGGTTATCAGCAGACAAAAGCCAGCAGTGACTAGTTCAGGAAGGAGGTGGGGGCTAAGCGTGTTCCAGCGTCCTCTGACTTTTTCTGTGAGAGTTTAAATGACTCACCCTGGTTTTAAAATGTTGTCTTCTTTCTGCCAAATACCCTATATGTTAACGGTCCCTTCTGCTCAAGACACCAAATGAGGAATTGGGGCATTTCCTTGTTTTGCATAAAGCACTGGAAGGGTCTCCAAGGCTTGAGCATCTGTCTGTGACAACCTTGCTGTTTGGTTCCCTGCGGAAAAGCAATCTGATAACACATGTGCTTCCACTAGCCACTGGACTTCTTGTACTAATGATTAAACTTACTTACTCTAGAGTATTGTTTGTTGAAGACTGACTAGCATCACATCTTCTTAAGAGTCTCCCAAATAAGCATGAGAGTAGCCAGAATTAAGTCAAAAAGAACAGATGAGATGGGGGTAAGGAGTGGAAAGTCAGGGGATAGACCAATGGGTAGGACCTTAGGCAGGCATTCAGAAGTCCCCGGGGTTGGGTTCCCAGCACCACAAACAAGCAAACACACAGTGAACAAATGAACAATGAGCAAACATGCACAGCTACATCAGTTGCTCGTCTTGGTTAAAGTCCTTGCTTCCATGCAATGCTGTGTGGCGCTCCTGAGGGGCTTGGCTCCAGGAACACAATGGGGAGCAGGGTTGGTGGGAGCCCCTTGTTCTCAGCCTGTTTGACTCTTCAGGAGGAACTCTTTGCTTCACACCTCTTGAGCTCAGAAGACTAGGCACCATTTCAAAAGTTGCAAATAACCCCCCTCCACACACACACACACACATACCCTGACTCTGTACCCTGTAGTTACATGATTTCATCAGGGAGAAACCAGATTCAGAAGCTATTCAGGGCATACCTGGTGTGGCAAGGCAGGTCAGGGTCAACCTGGAATTGGAATCTCTGGGCCTGGGCTCCTACTTTGTGCAGAAAGCACCCCCCCCACCTTGAGTATGGTATATGTGTGAAAGTCATGTAGAGAATACAGTATTCCCTTCAGAATACTGGCCACAGGCTTTGGGAAGGGGTCTGCTAGTGAGGGTCCTGAGTGCTGACTCAGTGAGCATAGATGGCCATACTGCATGGCATGGCTGGGCATATACAGTTGCAGGAGACAGTTTTCACACTTTGTGTACATGAGCTTAATTTCCTCCATGGATTCCATTTTCCCCTCCCCATTTCCCTCTTAGTATACAAACCCCAGCCCTCCCCCCACTCGACTGTAACTTATGCCTCAAATCTCACCTCTCTTTGTGACTTGTGTCAGTCCCACTTCCTTGAGAAGCTTTGCCAATATTTCTGCTGTCTGTCCACAGACTGTCCTCCCATGTACTTCACCACTTAATGATGGTACA